TACGTGGCTATAAATCCAGGCCTTTATATCTTACTTTGCATATGCACACTATATGTTCATTACTCAAAATGCAGTCGCCACATTCAGACTCATATGCAGGGTGCAAAAAAGTGCGCACACGCGCGTGGGGTTGGGGGGGGGGAACAATTGGGTTACAAAATAAATTGTTGCTTATTGTTGCCAATACAGCCGCTCCACCAATACACAAACAGCCAGTGGATTAAAAGACCACATAATAGCAAGATTGTCTCACAGCTGACGTAAAGCACAGGGCAAGGTCACATTAGCAATTACTTTAAATTATCCTTTGTTTACCAATTCAAAGAATATTCTTGGAACCAGAGGGATCGAATTAATGGCGTGGTACTTCCGGATATTGGGCGACCTCTTATGGTGTAATTATACCGTAGCCATAAATATACATTGTCTTTACAAATGGTCTTTTGTCATCCTTTTTTTTATTTTATTTTCTTCGTAACTTAAGACAGTCATTAGTCTTTTAAAAATCGATGATAACAATTAAAAGTTTTAAAGAATGAAAGCCTGGGCTTAGTAAAGTTAGTCACATGTCAGAATTCGGAGATTTCGAGGCATGAATGACCGCGTCAGTCTCTGCTGTAAAGTGATGTTACATTTTACTACAGTTTCCCACCTTGTGTGTTTCTGTGTGCTGCGTAAAACTAAAAGACGCTCTCAACTGACATGACATCCTATTTAATGAATGAAGCATCTTCTTACAATATATGACCCTCAACAAAAGTTGGTAGTTCCAAATAATTCATTGCAGACATACTACTCTATACATATAGAGATGCAGCCTAAAATGGGAAAGCCAAAGTACAACCATTTGGTAAAAAAAAAAACTTCACAATAAATGACAAGTCTGTAGGTCATTGCAGACGTATATTACTCTATAAATGCAGAGATTACATGTATATGTGCGAATATCTGTTTATGATGCTGTGTCAATCGAACGAACAGCCCTTTTTGCAAGGAAAAGGTCCGGTCTGGGTAAAATTTGATCAAGGTTCACAAATGTTTCATAGTAAAAGGTCCAACATTTTCAGGAAAAGAGCTCCCCCTTTTTGAATTGCTGGCTACGGACCTGACTTAATAAAGAAAAGACCTAGTTACTACAACCCAAACTTCGGCTACAGTCACTCTCGCCTGATGCCTGTACGTTATGAGATGGTCGATTGTCGCTTTTTATACAATTTACTGGTGCTGTTTGCCTCTGACCGAGCGGTTGCAGAAAAGGGCTGGGGTTTGCTTAAACGTCTTATGTCGTCCGATCCGATTGTCATTTTTCTCGACAAGGGAAACCACTCTGCGCGTTTCCGATAATGGCGCATCGTTCGTTCACTTTTAAGCTTTCTTTTTCTTAAAATATTTTTCATCGCGTCACGCTTCCTTTTACGGTACCCAACAATCAGTTAGTATTCTAGTTTTTCGTATGTCGGGCTGGCAAGTAAAAAAGACTTATTAACAGAGATGTATTTTTTTATGAAGAATATTAAGATTCAGCTGGACAAACGAAGCTGTGCGGTCAAAGGCTCCTGGGCTTAATTAAAGCAATCAGGAAACAGTTGTTGCAGTTTCAAGGCAACTGCATTATGGAAATTCAATGCCACGTGGATAAGGCAAAGGCGCAAACGTAGAACGTGTTTATTCATGCTTTAGCTGGCTGGTAATTAAATGCACACAATAAATGTAACACTTTTGTATGACAAAATAATACTTTTTCGGATATTTCACCACTTTTCCCTGAATGAAGAAGATAAACCATATGCAAAAGCGTCCACAGAGTCGCAAGGGAGACAATGAGATTCGTGAATTCCCCTTGTGGCGGTAAAAATTAAGAATTAATATCACCAAAACGTTACCTTGCGGGTAAAGAGAAAATGACTGAAATTTTTAAGAAAACTTTCCTCTCTCTCTCTCTCTCTCCTTCGTTTGTATATATAACATTAGCATTGTGTGTGTCATTAAGGTCTCGAATAAATCGATACTTTGCAATAAAAATCCGTCTACTTTAATTGTCTTCAATGCACTGGGCGGAAAAACGCGACGAACTTGTTATTGGACTAGTCATTAGCGACATCTATTTTCGGCTCGCTTATCATATCAGGAACTCGACTGGAAAACAAATGACTATTTTCCCTTTAAATAACACGCAACGCAGCATTTCTTGTTAACAATGATACATCAAAGCGGGATTCCTACTAATAATAAACTAAACAAGCGAGCTGACGTAACGAAATAAATGCGTTTCAAAGAGACTCCAAATCATTTTCGTTAAAATCGTGAATAACGTCACAGACGAAACCGTAATAGGAAGTTCATCCGTTCTCCATAGGCACATGATCTCGTTTCCTCCTTTAATTTCCAAGAAACGCGTCCGCAAACTGATTCAGTGAAACATTTCAAGCAGGGATGTCGACCCTGAGCGCGGGACATATGTAGATGAAGATACCTTAAAAATAATTTTTAAAACTTGGTAATGAGACCGATGCACCTGCTTAAAAAGTACTACTCTTTGTGAGTAAAAGACGCAAGAGATGCACGCGACCGTTCAATCTGCTTTTGAATTAGCAAAAAGAAGAAAGATATGTGTTATGGAGTGACAATAACGACGATGTGAAGCTTTCAGAAATTTATTCACCAACTCTCTCTTTCATACAAATTCACAAGCATTAATACTCTATTTCTCCGTACTGATCACGCACTGACTTGTTTTCATCCATGAGAATGAGAATTTTCCATTCTCATGTTGCATTCCTCCATTCAACATTTCTTTAATAGGCAATCTCTAAGAGATTTGTTTTCTATTAAAAATATTATTTGAATTAATCATGCTTGGACCATATTTATCCTTAGTTTGCATGTGTTTAACACGTGGCAGAAACTTACAAAATTTAATATATTGAGAAATTAACCAATCAAGTCAAATTATATGCGACTTTGACATATTCCATCTGTTCCTACCACGACAACAATTTCTACACTTGTTGACTCTTAAAGAAATTTTACTTACACTCAATAACTCCCTATCCTTTTACGTATTTGATTCCTCTTAAATAATTACCTTTAAAATTGTTTATTTGTTGGGAATTTCTGAGATTTTGAAATGTGAGAGAGTTGATAAATCGTAGATCAATTCTTTTCAAGTCAAAACCCCTCAAATTAGGGTTCGCGTCATATACCTTACGACATCACAGAATGTATTAACAGCACAAAGGCTGGAACACGTATCAGCGGGAAATACAAATAGAGAAAATTCCTTTTGTAAAAAGATGAGTTCTATGATCGGGGTCGCCTATAATTGTCTTTTCCTGATCTTTCTTTGAAATAAATTTCTTCCCCACTATTGATTCCATCACAAAAATTATGAAACATCCATTTCACACTATAATAATTTATTTCACAACAGGCCTCCCGGCTTGTAATACCGCCACAGACATGTGGGATAATCATCATAAGAACTATATTATGGTATCTGGATATCTGGGAAAGATAACACAATTAACCTTACACAACCTTTTCTTCAACTCTTTACTGAAAGCGACCCATTCCAACCTGGGTGGCGTCCTGTTTTTCACTCATTATTAATTAGTCGGGGATTCCAAAGTTCACACTAATAATGGTGTTGATTTGTGTGATTGTCAACTGGGCCCTGCTTCTTGGAAAAACGACTTGACATTATAGGCGCTCGTCTTGCCTATGCAAGCAGTCAACTCCTTAAATAACAACATGAATTCTGTGACAATAAAACAAGATGAAATATATCTATTTTTCGTTTTTATTTAAAGTAGCTCTGTTGTGCTCTTTATTTCTTTTAAATATAAATTTTAAGTCAATAACTGTATAAACTTCTTTTTTATAGAACAGAGAAGACTTTAGATTTGGAAAAAATTCCTAAAGTGTAATACTACTTACCGCCACATCCGCATTACAAATGTTTCTGATTGCTGAAAAAAATGACACTGTATCAAAATGTTTGTAGAAACTCTCTTTTACTATGAAATTGAGTAAATGAGATAACTTTATATGTAGTAATATAAACAAATTAACACCACTTTTTCAGGGGAATATTGAAACAAGGCAGCAAAGCTGTCAAATGTACAGATAAAAAACAGAAAATATGCTTCACTGTACTGTCAATTCTGATGCGATAATAAATTATGCTTAACAGCAATGTCAACACCAAACTTTAATTATACACAACAGGTAAAACAGATGTAAGTAAAATGTGCAACTATCATAAGGCTTCAGGCCCATGAGAGTTCAAGTTCACACTTTGAAAATGCCAAAATAAGAAAAATGAAAATTTCACAAAAAGTTGCATAAATTCAAGAAATGTTAACCCTGTTTTCCAATTTGAGCTGTATTTCAATGGTAAGAATCATTCTTGTAAGTTACAAAATAACACAATATGACATGGTTTTCATGTTATCTGCATGTGGATATGTTGAAAAAAGTGAAAAAAAGCATAACCTTGAAAAAACGGTCAGATCAAGCTGATTTTCGAACTCTACATGTACTTCAATAAGATTGATCACTCCTGACCACATCTGTGTCTGTACATAAAAAGGGTGGAAAATTAATGAAATGTTATACAGCCAGATGAGAAAGGCAAGCACAGCATAGAGAATTGTGTGAGGTGTGATAGGATAACAACTCTGATTGCGGTTAATGTTAATTGTGGTAGGTGTGAATAGATAAAAAAAAAACTTGTGAAATTGTGTGCCAGATGTTGTTAGAAAACAGTATGTATGTCATTGCACTAGATGAGATAAAAATAACTCAGAAGACTTTATTGTGTCAGGCAGAAATTTAAGTCCTTAATCTCAGTGCACAAAATAACATGATGCATGGGCGGATGGAAGCTGTCTTTTGGGTCTTCCAAAAGATGCTCGAAATTTTTCAAGTTTACATTGACTATTATCTTATTTTGTCTGTATGAAAACGGTCAAAAATGGAGGAAGGATCAACAACAATAACTTAGAAGACTGTTAGAAAATATCTCTGGATCTGCCCCTGTGATGAAAGTTCTAATGTGTTTTGCTTGAAACCTCTAACGTATCTGTCAAATGTTGCACAAAATTTAGGAATTGAATTGCACAAACATCTAAGCTAGGACAATTTTTATTCGTTTTTTTTCCTTTTGCACTTGTATTTGCCTTAGATCTATCAATACTGTAGCATAGTGTGCCCTAGACTATCAGTATACTTAAAAAAACTATGCTGAGCAAATGGACTTATGAACTGTTTTATAAATTGACACTGAGATTTCATGAACATCATCATCATCATCAGGCAGTCCTTCATGGTAAAATAATTTTTTAAAAACATTTTTGAAAACAAAGTATTATTATCTTCTTACATTTAAATCTTTCCAGCAGAGCTTTGGCCTTTATATCCCCCAGGCCGGGAATGAGTTGTGCTGTGTTCAAGACAGAGCTATCCAGGGGAGATGTCAGCGCCTTGGACAGGAAAGGATTACTAGACTTCTTACCCTCTGCTACCACCTGGAAAATATAAAATGCAACTTATAATGGCTTTGTGATTGGGTTTGTCAATGGATTAAGAAATTCTTAATACTTACTTTGATATTTTAACCAGGAAATACACATTGATAATTCACTGAATTCTAATACTGTAATACGGTAATTACTTCATCTTTTCAATGGGGGAAATTTGTGAATTTTACAGATACTGTACTTTTTAGGTCATAATTTCTTTAAAAATTAGAACATTCCCATTGAGTGGTAGCAACAAAATTAAAAAGCATGCTACTCTATAGTTCTATTCTATGCAGTAAAAGCACCACAAATGCTTTACAGAAATTAAATTTTTGTGATTATAAAATTATGTATCTGAAAGTTCAATTATTTTTGTCCTTCGAGAGTAATTATCATAACTTATTTCTTCTCTCTTGCAAAACATTAAAATGAAACCATTTTAGTCAAGGGTAAAAAATAGAAAATCTGGTGTCTTGGATGCCTGTTTAAAGCTGATTGAAGTGCAAAGATCCACACAGTAGCAGCTGGTGACAGAAATAAAAAGACTACTACTATGATAAGACCAAAATAACTTAATGTGACAAATTGTAACAATTTCATTTAATTCATTTACCATCTGCCACAGCAGCTGTCCAGCTGCTCTCTGATTGGCTACAGGAAACAAGATGAGCCCAATTTCAAGCACGGCAAATTTTTGCAGAGCTGGGAAATACTGGGAACTTAGAGAAGTCTTCTCTGCTAACACTGTGCCACGTAGACCACTAGACTGAAATGAAATAAGACCATGCACCAATTCAAATCACTTGAGACCACGAAAAATATGACTTGATGCTTACAAATAGTAACTTATTATGTGAATTCAACACTGTAGATGTTAAACATAAAGCATATTAGCAATTAATTCATGTAAAAATGAAAAGAAAATTGTAGTAACTGTGGTGAAAACTGCACTTGTATTCAAATAATGTTTAACTCACAACAATGATTTCCTTTCTTTTTTAACACGAAAAATGTTGTTCAGTAAGAGCGCATTCTCAACGAATTAAGCCAGGCTTTACAAAGCCGGTGACCTAAAAATGACGGACGTACATGAAAGAAAACTGCCTAATCTTTTAATAGTCTCTCCGCCTCTCACACGCCTCCCCACACGTCGTCCTTGCGGGGTACAGTAATTAAATCTCGGCTCCGAACATTAATATTTCCGTGAATATCTCTGGTGATATTATCTCCGTAGATAGTCGATTCATTGCTGCTCTACGGGCCAAATTATTCCTTTTTCGTCTCTGTTTTCAAAGATAATAGAACAGAAGAGCTTTTTTCCTTCGATCGCCTTCAGCCGCCATGCTTTCTTCACCACGAGTTTAACTGATGAGCATGCGCACTTAATATTTCTCAGGTAGCTTCCGCATGGCGAACGGAG